CGGAAAAATCAATTAACAAACGGAGACGTAACACAGTCATTGTCTTCTTGATGGAAATTTGATGTCTCATCCAATTTACGATTTAAATTAGACTTATATGATCATACAGACTACTAACCATGACAATGATTGGGATTCAGTCACCACAACCTTTACATTAAGTACTTAACTGCAACTACTTGTTGAAACTTACAATGAAATATAATTTGTCGTATTAAAGTAGGATTTAACATTATTATTCTAAGAAAACTGTATTTGTCTGGCATTGTGTATTTCTATGGTAAATCAGCAATTGAAGCTTGAACATTTTCACAATACCAGAACCAAAGGAAACCTTCACTGAATGTAAGACACAGGAAACATTTGTTAAATGAAGGACAGATGAAATCTTACAAGTCAGAACAAGTTGTTATATTAACAAAATTCAACAACTTGGTCTGACCATCTATATAGCAAGCTCCACATACAATGGGTAGTACAAATTATAATTCAAAGGGAATGACAAAATGGAAGCCTAGTCCCATGCAGACCTTCCCTAAAGAAAAAAAATACAGACATTGAGATTAGCTTCTGTTGAGTGCAAATGTTCTAGAAACAACATGATTAAGGCAAGTTAAACTACATCCTGTTCAGAAAAATTGCTAACAAACATAGCAAGACTACTTGGATATTTTGAAACCTTTCACTTGACTAAATCATATGTAACAAAAAGCCATAAACTTGTTACAAAAATTAAATACAGTAATTTTAAATTTCTATACATATACATAATTATATGAATATCAAATAAAGTAGTATTAAACAATTAATTAGCTATTAAATATGCACTTTAAGATGATTATAATTAAATATTTGTAAATTATTAACTTTATCTGGACTACAGGAATGAGGAGATACAAAAAAGTTACAATTAGTCTACTTTTTTCACTTCAGTGAAGGCAATAACTTTCATCATGTTGTAGTTGTAACACAATACTGAAATCTGAAAAATATGACTCCTTAAGGGTTTATAAAAAATGCCATACGTAGACAATATTATTATCCAATCGTCACATTTCTCATAAAACTAGTATATCATCATGACTCAAAATGCTCTTAGTATCAATAAACCATTTCAATCTCTTTCAACACACACCAGATAAAATTAATGATCTAACAATAATGTTCATATACCCAACAAAAATACAGATTTAAGAGGCCAACATTCACGGGCAAATGCAACATGTCTCTTCCAAGCATTACCAACATGACCAATTTTGACACCAGAAAAATAATGAAAAACACAAAAAAAATCGAAAATCTGTCTAATATCACTGTTTGTGACCTGGAAGTACGAATTGCCAAAACTCCTAAAATTATGCTTTTTGTGGCATCTTGTATTTATGCCAATTTTCACCTTGATTGCTATAAATATGACTGCACAGGAGCCCAAAATATACATTTTTGGATTGTTTGACTTTTGATACCATAAAATCCTTAAAAAGGTTTAATTAAAAAAAAATGGAAAAGGTTTTTGGACATAAGTGAAGTCAATCTGCCGAGAAATGAAGGAATGGCAGTCGATTGAAAAGTGTTTGGAAGAAGAAGAAAAAAACAGGAAAACAAATTAAATATGTTTATACAATCTAGCAACAGATGGCGCAACATATAGGATAGAAACTTTTAAAATCCTACTATATATTCTCGATGAGGAGGAAGTGGAAAGAATACCTGACCTTCCCAGGTCCATCAAAATAGAACCTAAAAATCGAATACAGCGGGCGATTGATGAGAGGTTCCACAAAGTTTTTTAAACGACCCTTGAGAATCCGCTAATTTTTATGTATAATTTATAATATTCATCTAGTCTAAATTTTCAGCAGATCTATACTGTACGCATTCCATCACATGCAGCAACTTTTATTTTTCGCAGTTGTGCATAGCAAACTGTCGACGTTTTGACTCAGTATCAGTTGTTGTTCGGAATATTGTTTCCCCACTTTAAAAACTAAAACTTAACTGTTTAAAGCTACCCCTTTAGGTCAGAAGATAAACTTGATGGGGTTCACAAGAGTTTCGATCACATCAAAAGGGTCAGCAAGGCTTAAAACACTGAAAACGTAGGAACTACATTAATATTATTTTGCTTGTTTTAAAAATATTAATTTTAAACAAATGAACCATAAAATAACAAATAGAATGAGTTTCCTTTAACTAATGAATATCTTTTCATGTGGTTTGGTTTGTTTTGAATTTCGCGCAAAGCTACACAAGAGCTATCTGCGCTAGCCGTCCCTAATTTAGCAGTGTAAGACTAGAGGGAAGGCAGCTAGTCATCACCACCAACCGCCAACTCTTGGGCTACTATTTTACCAACGAATAGTGGGATTGATCGTCACATTATAACGCCCCCACGGTTGAAAGGGCGAGCATGTTTGGTGGGATGGGGACTCGAACCCGCGACCCTCAGATTGCGAGTCGAGCGCCCGGGCCATTTTTCATGTGTGATTAATGTGATGAAGTGTTAAAATCAACACTAGACCAAACTACAACAGTACGAACTGGGTGAAAGCACTTCGCTTGTTAGTAAACGTAAAGCTTCACAATGGATTATCTGTGCCGAGTCCAGCGTATGAATCAGTCCTCGAATTTTGACGTTATAAGCTAAGCCTCGAGAACGGTGGAGGGAGGTTAAAGCGACGTCAACTTTAAAATAAGTTTTTATTTTAACTTACCTGTCGGGTTATAGAAACACTGACGTAAATTGTGTTTAACCTTAAAATCGTAAGTTGATCGTAAAGAAATTGTCATATTCTAGTAGCAACTTTGAACAAGAGAAAATCAGATAAACGAATTTATCATATAAAACATTACTTAAGTTTGGGGTTCGATTTCTTTGAAAAACACAACGAAATTCACAAAGTATAGTTTTTGGTGTTGATGAAAAGTCTTTCCAAAGGGCTGATTTTGCTTTTGCTCATTCCATAGTAGCCTTGACTTGAACTGCAGAAACAACAATAAATTTTCTACAGCTATTACTTATGACTCATTGGTTGAGGTATGATCAATGATATACAAGCCTATCAATCATTGAACGTTTTAAAAAAATGAAATTGATTACAATGAGAAGAGCAATTACTATTCCTTCTAATTCACAGTTATATTCGCCTTCTTTGATTGAATTCTAACGGTTTTAATCGCTTTAACTTCAACAGGAACTCCATCGTGACTGCATTTACATCTTGCAGCTGAGACTATGGTAAACATGAATTTCGTACATTATCCTAACGTATTGT